TTGAAGAAATTTTAGCTTAAGATTTGTATATCCTATAGGTCTTTAAAGTGTCGGATAGAGCGGTAATAAATAAATAATAAATGTGTGTTAAATAAATATATTCATTCGCTTACATCCATTTACAGGGTATAGGGCATAGTATAGAGGTATGCGGACAATAATTTAATTAGTTTTCTCAGCTTAATTAACTAAAAGATAGCAGAAGCAATTAAAATATTTAGAAAAAACTATTTCAATTGCATTTCAGTTCTACATAAGAATTTGTGTATAAAGAAAATCCAACTAAAATATATACTAAAAAAGTAGAACGTAGTTTGAAGATTTCATATAATTTAACTCTGAGACTCAACAGATCCTTAAAGAAGTACAGTCTACTTAGTTATAACAACCTTCCCAAGTGCTATTCGTATCTGCCAGGCAGTAAGTTCTATAGTACCCAGTTATATCTGCATATTCATGGCTTCAACTCAAAATACACAACTCTCGAGTTTCAACTTTCCCGCCAAATGGGGCCGCTGCCCCACTCCCCCACTTCCCCTCTCTCTATCGCCCTCTCTCGATGTGCATTCGATTGGCGCCTCTGCCAATTATTTATTGCAGGCGCCATGTAATATCTTTTAGGTACGCCCACAGGTCGCTTGGTCTGTGGGTCGCTCGTAGTGCTCGTTCCATTCGGAACAGAGTTACGTTGCGTTTAGAATTTATTAATACACAGTTGTACTTTATATTTTTAATTGAGCGTTGCAAATTCGTTTGGCGCCAATTTCATTTTCACGCCCCATGGCGCCCCAAACACTTTGCAAATTGAAAGCTGCCCTCCCAGTTATATGTGCTTTTCCCCTCCGAATATCACAGATAGAAGCATAACACGTATATAGAAATATCTGCTCAAGCATTGCTCTTAGCTTAATTATGTTCCTCAAGCATTGATTGACATAGGCTTCATCTAAATTTGTTATATTATTTTGTTTTTCTCTAGTTATAAGTCTTTATGTATAAATTTATTGAATGAAACTACTTTTTATTTGCTTATTTTGTTGTTGTCTATAATTGTGTAAAGTTTTTCTTTGATCCCTTCAGCAGAACTCGAGTTATACATAGGTTAGTTGAGCCAAAATGGCAAAAAAAGCATTATTTTAAAAATCTCTTATTAGATTATATTTATTATGCTATAATAGCTGAAATTTATAGTAACTCCTCTTCAGATAGTTGTCATGCATAAGATTTCAGACATCTGTTTCTGAACATATATCTCCTAGACTCTAGACTCTAACGAGCTGAATTTTGGTATACTCTAAGTCCACCCACTGCTACACAAGCACTGACAATTTTTAGTAAATTGCCCGAGCAGAAATCGAGTTATGCAAAGGTTTGGAAATGCTAAGCTACGACGCTATGACGCTACGACCTTCAGCCCGATGGAAAATATTTGTTTCTCTCGGTCTGAAAGCGCCTGCAGCTTGAATGAAGATGAATGTAAATGTGATTATGGATATATATCTACCTACCTGTTCAATAACTAATGATGGGCAAGAAATTCCAATCCGAACGCTTTCACTGCACAAAATACCAAAGTAAATTGGCCATAACAAAAAGGAGGCGAGAGATCGGCCCAGGGTCAGAAATGAATTAATGGGCTTGACTTAGTGATAACTAAATGTGTGCTGAACTGTTCAATTGAGACACAAAACAGAAAACAAAGCCAGCAAAAAGCTGACTCGGAACCGGTTCCGAGCGCGAGCCAATTAAACGGAACAGGTGAACAAAGTGATCAAAGCGTTATAAAACTGTGAACTCTATGCAAACAAAACTTAAATAAATAAATAAAAATTAGAAAAAATACAAGAAGAAGAGGAAAAGGCAAATATGCGCCGCGTTCATTTATCAAGTTTGAAATTCGCGCTAATGATTCGACGAATGCGTGAGCGAAGCTTTTTCTCAGTTTCATGAAACTCAAGGCGAGTATATTGGCTTTCTGCAATAGACGAGTTGCTGCCAGTGTCTGACCACTCACTGGCTGTCCGTCTGCCCTTACTCGTGTCTGCCTTCCTGCCTTTCAGCTATCTGTCTGTCCCGACGTTAGTCTGTCCTTCCGTCCGACTGTCTGTCTCTCCGTCCGTTTGCATCTCTGTCTGCCTGTCCTTCCAACTATTAGTCTATCCTTCCTCCGTCCGTCCACCTATTTGTTTGTCCTTCCTTCTGACTGTTTGTTCGCCCGCCCGCCCGTTCGCTCGTTCATCCGTCCGTCCGTGCGTCCGTCCATATGTCTGTCCGTCCTTCCATCCGACTATCTATGCGTCCATCCGTAAGCCTGTCCTACCAGCTGTCTGTCTTTTCATCTGTATCTGCGTCCTTCTGTCTGCACTCCTTGAATTTGATTTCGTACGGTGAACGAGTATCGTGCAGTCGGTCAGAACCGTTCGACACTGGATTTTTCGGTGTCTTTTGAGAATTTCTTGTTTTATGCTTAGCGAATTACAACAACAACAACTAGAATCAATAATCAATATCTACAGAGATTTTTTCAGGCTTTGCACGATTTTTATGCAAATGAAACTTTTTTTGTTGTTTTTTTTAGCTCTTGCCTAGGCGACATTGTGTCTCGTCTTGTTGCCCATTAAAAATGCTAATTTCCTAAATATTTTAGGCTAAAAAATTTAAGAAAAAATATAAAATAAAATCAATAAAGAAAAATACAAAAATTTTGTTTGCTCATTAACAAATAAATTAGCTAAAAATAAAAATCATAAAAAAAAAATCCCCCGAGAAAATTTTAATTTGCGCATCAATAAAAAATAATAAAATAAATATGTGAACTATAAAAACTAACAAAATGAAATTAATTAAATCAAGCAGCGAATTGATGTTGCGATTTGAGCTTTTCGGGAACTGAGAAACCGCAAAATTCCTTTTAAAAATAATTTAAATTAAATTAAAAAACAAAAAAAAATAAATTAAAAAGAAACCTAATTTCTACATTACTCAACCTATAGTACAAAAGTTTCAAGTTGAGATCTGGCTTTAAGTGAGTTAGTACAGGGTATCAACTAGTCGTGCACGCTCTTACTAGTTCTAACTAGTGAAAGCTGTCTAAAAACTTGACTCAGTGTAATTTGCCAGTTGTAGTTCAGGAGATATGACTATAAAGCCTATTCATAACTCGAGTATCTGACAAGCAATTCACATTAAATCAGTGTCAAACTGAAGCTTTTTAGACTAGCTACGAAATACCCTAGAGAGTATTCAACTCAATAGGGTAGTTCGTGCTGTAAGACATGATATATTTGGAAAACAACATTCATAAAACATGATATAAACTCAAGCAAAACTGTTAACTATGTCTGCAGTCTATAAATATAATTATATTTTTGGTTCACCTAGCCTATTCATAACTCGAATTCTTGACGCAACTCTTAGATAAACTTATCGGGAACAGCTTATAGTCTCATAATTCATAATATTCTATCAAATTTTAGAGTTGTGTCATACGTAAAAGTCAAAATATGACAAGATAATATAAATAGACTATTCATAACTGGACTTCCAGCCAGGGGAAGACTCTGAAATCGCTTACCACATATTTTTATAGCCGTTATTATCAAAAAAGAACAGTTATATCAATTATATATATCACCTTTAGTACAAAAAGTTTCTGGGAAAATGTCCGATTTAATTGATTTGCTTTTTTCGAGTGATTACTGTACTCGAGCCGTCTCAATATTTTCAATCCTAATCTTAAGAGTGTGCCATATCGAAGCAATTGGTTAATTTTAGTAAAATTATCTAATCTTATATTTAAGATAGATTAATAAATTCGCAAAGATGAAATTTCTAGATTGTTGCAAAAAATTAACTAATGCGACAACAATAAAAGCAACAACAGCAGAACGGATAACAAGAAAATTGTGACGAAACAACGCTGACTGCGACGCCAGCAGCACGCTGCGCTGCGCTGCTGGCCGTGCAGCCTGCAGCGGCTGCTGGCCTCAAATGAAGCTTCCCCTTAAATTTAATGTTTTGTTTTCGCTGCGTCCTGTTCGCACTGCATGCTTGCCCTCTCGCTCATCAGCATGTTCAACTTCCGTTCGTTTTGTAGTAAAAACGTAAACGAGAGCAGCGCAGTAGCTAGCAAGTGAATTTATACACATACACTGGCACAAAAAATGCGCGCGCTTTACAAACACACACACACAGATACACTGAAATGGAAACCAAAACAAGGAACAACTTAGAAACGAAACACGAACGCCTCTCTTTACTTTTTGAACGACAACGCGCGAGTGAATTGTGGAGCGTATATGTGGAATTCGTTGCAACAAAATGAACGGCAAAGAGCGATCAACTCGATCAGAGGCAAATAGTTGAAATTCCATTCGTGTCTTTAATTGGGGGAAGCGAACAACATCCAAATATGCACAATAGGAAAGAAGAAGAAAGAGAACAAAAATCTTGAACTCTCGAGAAAGATATTCTATCTGAGTCACAGACGTACCACAAAAACAAGTGCGTCATTTAGCCATAAATAATGCAACAACTGTTCAAGCAAATTGCAAGGCGAAATAACGGTACGCTAATTGATTCTTTATACGCAAATCAGCGATCAATGATAGGCGAAGGGGAAAGGGGCAGTGTCGCTGGCGCTCTGCTATTCCTCATTGTCGTTGCGTACGATCAATGCTTCTAACGGTGCATGCGCTGCTTTGGCGCCGGCGTCGCTGTCCGAACATAAATTCGTAAGCATACACATATATATATGTGTGTGTGTGCATGTATGAAACTGCAAGAAACTGGACTCAACGCGCTGCAATTACACAAGCGAATGGCCCACAGTCCACAACAAGCGACACACTTGGAAATGAAACGGGCGCTCTTACTCTTCTCTCTCTCTGTGTTTGTGTGTGTGTGTTTCATTTGCCATTAGTAGCAGAGCTCTGTGTACATTTTGTGTGGCTTACTCGCATAGCCTCTTGTTCCAACTCGTTCAGTATCATTTAAAACTTTTTACCGTTTGGTTGGAAGCGCGCTTCGCGAACAGCAAAATATATAACAAACGGGCCAACAAAATAAATCGCCTGTCGGCTGTCGTTTCTGTTCTTTCTCGTTTTTTGTTTTCACTGTGTTCAACTTACACAGTCTCCTTTGGTTTTATCTCAACGCGCGCGCCAAACTGTAAAAGGAAGCAAACTAACAACAAAAAACAAAAATTATTGTGTGTTTTTCTTGACTCTCCAAACAAAAATGACTGTTAAATGTTAACTGTAAACTCAAGCATGAAGTAAATGCAATGAGCCTACAAAACATAGCGGAACTTCATCAAAACAAAACTAAACTGAATTTAAAACAAATATAAAGTACAGAGAACACATTACAAACAACATTACTTTGTAACGTGCTCGGATCTAAATCCTCAAAAAAAAACGCATCGTTTTGGCGTTCGTGTAGTGTGTGTGCGCGCTCTGTTTGGCTCAGGATCGAAGCTCCTATCCAACAGCCCACCGCAGCCCCCCGAACGGCCTACTCATGAAATGCAAAAGCTGGTCCAATAAAATCAACAATTTTGTTGTGCGAAAACTAAAGTCCATTAAGGTAAATATTTAAGCAAATTTCCCTATAAGTCTAAGTTTTTTAAAAGCAACAAAATTTTCTTGAAATCAGGCAAAAAATTAAATTTTCTATTAGTTAATGGAAAGTGTCTTAATTTTTTATGATAGTTAATGGAAATTTATTTTGTATTCATTTACCAAATTTTGGAACGATTAAAAAAAAAAAACAAAAATATTTCTTAAAATGCAATCAAATGATGGAAAAATTAAAAATAAAATATACGAAAAAATATTATTAAAAAGTGAATAGAAAATACAAAATAATAAATTTAAGATATAAAAATAAAATAAAAGTAAATATAAAATATAAATATATATATACCATAATATAAAATATTTTTAAAATCTTTAAAAAAAATTGTATAAAAATTTAATACAATATATATAATAATATAAATAAATATTATTTATAAGTACTAAAATTATAATAGACCATAATAGATAATAAAATAATAAATATAAATAAAAAATATATTTAAAAGATTTCAACAATAATAAGTTATGCAAATAAGAAATAAAATAATAAACAAGCATAATATATAAATAATATAAAAAATAAAATGATAAAAAAAAATGTTTAAAAAATTTCAATTACTAAATATCAAATTTTATATAATTTTATTAATAATATTCAACTAACAAAAAATATTAGGAAAATAAAAAAAAATATTTTAATAAATATACAAAAAAAAAAACCAATAACAAACGGAAAAATGTTTGCAAATTGTTGTTATGATAATAATTGTTGAACAAAAGCAACAAATTATATTGCAAATTGTTTTTCTGGCAGCTGTTTTTAATTATTATTTTTGTTGCTTGTTTGTTTTTATTTATTGACAATTAAAATAAGCACACAAAAAAAAACAATAACAACTAAATAATAAATCAATTTATTTATATAGTTCATTCCATTCCCTTCCTGCCTTCCCCCTTTGCCAATGCCCGTGGCCCGTTCTCCAGCTTCCCGCTCGGCCCACTCCCACTTTGTTTCCTTTTGCGCCTTTCACTTGTGCATGTCTCATACACACACATTCGCATACAATTGCATATTTTATAATATTTATTTACATTGACGTTGACGTCGCCGTCGGCGTCTCAGTTGCCGTCGCAGCCGCGCCCGCCATTTGTTTTGTTTACTACAGGCTTTTTCTCAGTTATGGTCGTAGTCGTCGTTGGCTTCGCTGTTGTTGTTAGTGTTATTATTGTCTCTTGTGTTGTGTCTTGTCTTTTGCCTTCGTTTTCGTTTAACACATACACACACGCTCGCATTTTGTTTTGTTCGCCGCTTCCTTGTCCTTGTCTCGCCTACCTACACACGCTCTACATGCGTGTGCGTATCCATATATATATATATATATATATATATATATATATATATGTATGCTTCGTGTATGTGTATGCTTCGTGTTTTTCCACCCGACATTTGTTGTTTATTTTTACATCTCGTCGTCGTCGTCGTTTTACGCGCTCTCTTGTGGGCTACAAATGCTTGAAATTCTTTTTGTTTTTTTTTTTTCGTGTTTCGGGTGTGTGTGTGTGTGTGCACATTTTTCCAGCGGGAAAACGAGTTTTTCCAGGCAGCGGCAGCGCATGCATTCTTCTTCTTGCTTGTTTACAGTTAGGAATGCGGGTGCCTCTTTAAAACAAAAACAGAAAACAGAAAAAGAGCAACGAAAATAAACCGCGCAGAACTCTCTCCCGCTCACTGGCTCTCTCTCTCCCTGTGTGGACTGAATTGTGGATAGTAGCATTTAGTTTAGAGCGGTAGGAGGCGATTGTTGTGTGGACACCATTTATGTCTACGGCAAAGCCTAGACAATAATATATATATACATACAAACAACAACAACAATTATGAAGCATTAAAACCTACAATTACCAGGCGCTTACGTACGTTCTCCTGTGCGCGCTCGCTCTTTCTCTATGCCTCTGGAGGCTCTCGCGACCTGGCACGAAACTTGTTCGCCTTGTAAAAAAATATATTGAAGGCGCCAGCGCCGAACAACAACTCATTGAGCGGCGGCTGCGCTGCTTTGGCCCCATTATGAACATAAAATCGGCTCGGCTTAGGTCGGCTCGCCCTCTCTCTCGAACAAAAGTTCGGCGCTCTCTCGTGTGCTGCTGCTGCTGCTGCGGCTGCCTGCTGCCGTTTGTTGGGGCTCACATCATTTTGTGTTTTTCACTTCTGATTAGTTTTTGTGACGCTTTGAAACCGGACGTTTCGATTGTGCACGCGTTTCGCTAAAAACAGACGCACGCACGCACACAGACACACACACACATACAAGCGAAACGCCCCAAACTCGTGTGTGTATGTATGTTTTAATCTTTGCATGTGTGTGCGCTTTACTCTGTGCGATTAAATAATACACCGCAAAAGGCCAAACAAATTACATAAAAAAAAAACAAAAAAAAAATAAGTAAATAATTAAAGGAAGCAGCAGTAGCAAAATTCTCGTTTCATAAATTGTTTTGTTTGGTTTCGTTTTCATCGTGTTCTTCTGCATCGCTCTAAATTCGTTAAATAGCAAAAAGAAGTTCCTAAAAATACACACACATATATACATACAACAACCACGTCGTCATCGTTTTCTTGTCCGTGTGTGTTCCTGTTCCATTCGTCGTGGAATTTTTGCCTTGCAAAAATTCCTAAAAAAAAAAATCAAAATATATAAATCAAATGTGAGTTCTATAAAAATTCATAAGTGTAAAAAAGTGCTGCGAAATTATGTGTAAGCAAAATTAAATGAAAAACACGCACGCACACAGATAAGGAATTACGCGCGCGCATCTTCTTCTTGCTTAGTGTGGCAGACTCTCAGTGCGTGGCCCATTGGAATTTGTACCGTAAAACGCAATTACAACATAAAATACACAAACAGAGCGAGCGCCCAATGTAAACGACGTAAGTCAAACAGAGATGAAGAGAGCGAGCGCGGCGGATTGCTGTGTGTGTGGGTGCGAGTGAGCGCGCTCGCTCGCTCGCCTACTTGCTTGCTCCAATTGGAATGTTTGCAGTTTGCATTTGCTTTTCTGTTTTGCATTTGTTGCTATTGTTGTTGATGGTTTTTGCATTTGTATTTGTGTTTGCATTGCGTGCATTTTCATTCATAAGCGCATTTTTACAACTTCCGCTCAGCAGAAAGTAAAAATAGAAAAACAGTTATTTACATGCGAGTTTTGGTTTGTTTTTGTTTTGTTTTTGGTTTTCCGAGCAACAGCAGCAGGCGTTGCTTTTGTTATTAAAAATCCTGCGTTTTTGTATATCCCAAATCATAACGTTCAAATCGTTTTCTCTATTTTGTTTGCCTCTTTTTACTTTTCTTTCTATATTTTGTTTTCTTTTTATTGTTGTTGTCTCATTTTCTGTGCTCAGTATTTGTACACGTTGTTTCCAAACAAAACTAAAAGCAAAAAAAACCACAACGAAGCCGCGGGCCAGAAAACTTCATTTTGAATTCTCTCAATGCAGGTATCGTAAAATCGTAGAATCGTTAAATCACTATATATCTAAAGATATATATAAATATATACAACTTGATCGGGGTTTACCCACCGAAGCGTTCGTCCATCTCTATAGAGAAACCTACCCCACTTGACTTCCAAAAATTATGCAAAACATGTCGCCAGTGAGCCCAAAAAAAAAAACAGAAATAAAAACAAATAAAAATGAAGAAAATTATAATAATTCAGATATACTTGCTCGATTCCCCAACAACTACAACTACAACAACAACAAAGTATCTTTGTATCTTCAATCTATAAATAGCCTTAGATATAAAAAATGCTCAGCAAAAATATTTTTGCAAATTTTTCCATGCGAAATTGTTCTCTTCTCTGCGAATTTGTTTTTCCTATAAATTAGGCGCATACCAGAAAAAAGTGAAAGGTGTTCCATCTAGCGGGAGAGCGAGAGAGAGAGAGTGACTGGTGGGTGGGTGTCGGGGGGTAATAAAAGATCTTATTTGATATGCTTCATTCAGTAGAATTTTTCTGATTAGAGTTTGCTTGTTATGTATATATATTATATATATATGTAGCTATATACAGACTATATATCTATGATATATATAGATATATGGATATTTATAATTACAAATTCAGATTTAGACAATAATATTTATAACAGCAGCAGCAGCATATTTATAAGCATCTAGGCTTAGTTCTTATAGTCTAGATAATACCAATTTACTGTGTTATACAGATGTCAGGTATCTCCAAGCCAGGCACCCGCTTGGACGCTCTTACTGGTTTTTCAGGTATTAACCACTTTATAGCAATCTTTTCCTGCTCTTGTGGGTTTACGTGCTCAGCGACACGTTCCATGCCAACAGATCAAAAATATATATATATATATATATATATAGATATAGATATAGGTATATAAATATATAGGTATATCTGATATATACATTTGCTCTTATAGTTAATGCTTTTCTTCTTCATGTTTATGTTTAAATAAACACCTTTGTTTATATATTTATCCGTCTGTGTCTGTCTGTGGGTGTAAATTTAGCGCAATTTGTGTTTTTTGAGGCTGCCAATAGACACCTTGTACTGCCGGCTTCATCCAATACCAGCCCGTGCTTCCCCCGATGTCATTTCCACTGCACTTTTTTGCATTTCTTTTCTGATTCTTTCTATTTCTCTCAATTGGCTAGACAGACAAAATTTTTATTTATAAAATCAAATTGGGCGAGGGGCGTGGTAGCGCTAGCACTAGGTGGGCTTCTGTGTTGAAATGGCGACGAAGCGACAATAAAATAGATTCATTTAAATGTCATTTTCGTCTAGACGACGAAGACGACGACGACGACGACAGCAGAGATCGGATCGCATTAGAATAGATATAAATGTATATATATATATATAGAGTATATGTGCGCTTGGCATACCCCCGTTCGGTCATATGTTTGCTCTGCTAGGCACACACACACACAGACACGCCCACGCACGCTGAACGAGGGGGCGCGTTCCAGTTGTTGTTTTCTCTTCTTCTGTTTCATTTGAAAATTTTCCAAATATTTCTGTTTGATACACTGACAGAAAAAAGTGGGTTGAATATGGAGAGAAATTTCTATGAAATTGGCGAGAAATTTTGATTTGAAATAAATAAAATAAGTAGGATAAAAACATAAAAAAACATAAAACAAAATAAAATACAAAAAATAAATCAGGTAACATATAAAAAAAAATTACAAATAAAACTTTTAATTTAAGCAGCTTTTATTTTTAACATAAAAACTAAAATTTTTAATTTTATTCAATTTGTTTCTTGTCCCCACTTTTCGCTCAGTGTACTACAAATGCCGACAAGCTTCAATCAGCCGATCATAATTTAAGCTATATAGGATCATATATATATATCAGATCTGGGAATCTTTTCGAAGAATTCGCACTTTGTTACCGCGTGCTACGCTGACATTTCCTGTTACTCTTTGGTCTTGTTCTTCCAACATTATTGTTATTTTTATGTTTTTGAACCAGTTTTGTTCTGTGACGCAGATGCGGCACAAAATGTAGCTAATTAGCAAAAAGTAAAGATCAAATCAAATCGAATCAAATCAAGAATCAAAAATCAAAAATCAAATTTGAGCTATAAAAATCGAAATCCAAATAAAACTAGGTTGTGGCAGAGTTAAAAAATAAATAATATATTAGGCTAAATAAATAAATTTATATTTATTTAGCTTCAATCTGAAATGCCTCACATACTTAGATACCCTGTAATTTATATTTGGAATTAGCTTAATTAAGCTCTAAGTAAAAGTTAACGGAAAAGATGCCGAAACTTGTTTATTTCTATATAAATATGAGGTGTGGACTATGTAGATACCCTGTAATTATTCATTGGGCATAGTTTTGTTAATTGATCATAAATTCAACTTTTCGAACAAGAAAAGCGTCTCTTTCCATATAAATATAGTTTTAATCTTGAATATACCCTGTAATTATTTGAGAAATTGAAATTCTCAGCTATCAGGCACAGTTATCAGGTACACGTAAATAATATTGATAGATTATTGATTTATATATATATGCCAAATCTGAACGATCTAGCTGCCCAAGGTTATTAAAGTGCGACCTATGGAAAGTGAGCTCTGACTGCACTTGTCTTAGAACGAATTCCTTTCTGTTTGACATTTGATTTCTTTGACTGAATCGAAATACCCATTGTTTTGTGTGCTTGAAGCTTGGTTCCATTTTTCCATTGTGAATTTCGACTTAAATTAGTTGTTGTTGCTGCTGCTTTGCTGTCTTTGACTTTCATTGACGCATTTGCTCACCTTGTTTTTATTTAAATTTTTTTTGTTTTTATTTCATTTGATTTTGCTGCTTTTTGCTTTTGTTTTGCATTCGTTTTGCATAATTTGATAATTTTGCGTTTTTACGACAGCAGCCAAAAAAAAAACCCGTCGTAGACAACGCGACGGCGTCTGGGCCAGCCCTACGTACCCCCCACCCCCAAAGCCCCAAACACGTTCTGCTCTGATCACGCCACAAAAAAAGTGATATCTTCACCTCAATTCTCGATAGTTAATAGAAATGTAAACAGGTGGGCAATGAACTTTATTAGGCTTTTAAGCTAGCCAAGTCCTTGAACCCGGAACAATAACAACAACAATAATAATAATGAGCAGAGAAGGTGCGCAAGCGAGACAGCTAATAGCATATTTGAACTTGACGTCAATGGCGGCAGCAGCAGAAGCAGCGCATAAGCATAGGCGTAAAAAGCTAAAATAAATATCAGCAGTAGCTATCTGTCTCTGTCACCCTCCTTGTATATAGTGCGCTATATGTGCGTGCGTGCGTGCTTGTGTGTGTGTGTGTGGGACCTGTTCTGTTATTGTGGCTCTCTTTTAAGTTCCGCTTTGTCGCTTTGTCGCTTTGTTTTTGTTTTGACTACGATTTAGGCTGGTCGCGTCTGCGCGCTAATTTATTGCGATCTCGAAATAAACACACACACACACAGGCAGTTACACATGCAAGCTACGTATTGATTGATTATTACTCTATATTCCAAGCGCGGTCTCTCACACTCTCTCTTCTATCTTCTGTCTTTTGCAGATTAACGGTACACAGCAGTTACAATCGCCAAGCAGCGCCGCGAGCATTGCAGCCGCCGCCGCCGTTGTCGTCTCTGCCTCAAGCAGCAGCAGCTGCAGCAGCAGCAACGTTGCCGCGAACAGCATTGAACAGCAGCAGCAGCAGCAGCAACAACTGAACACAACGGCAACAACAATGCCGGCGATGCCAAAAGAAAAAGCCACAACTGCCGTTTCATTAAGTGAACAAAATTTCTCAGCCCTTAAGCTGGTTGTTGTTGGCGCTATGACGACAGCGACGCGACTGCAGCAACAGCAACAGCAGCAACAACTACAACAACACCACACATGCGGCTGTGGCGCTGTCTCAGCAACAGCACCAACACCCGCCAACAATACAGAGAACAACAACAACAACAACAATAACAGCAGCAGCAGCGGCAATAATCGCTATAGCCGCAGCAACATGTATCTGACAAACGGTAAGCAAAATTTTTTAGCAACAAGCTGCTCACGCACTAACACTCGTTCTGTCTCTGTCTCGCCGCACAGGTTACAGTTCTCCGCTGGCAGCAGCTGTGGCCAGCAACAGTTCTTCAGTTGCCTCAACGCCGCAGCGCATTAAAATGTGTTGTCGAGAGTCGCCGTCGTATCAACGCCAGCTACAACAACAGCAACAACAACATCAGCAACAACATCAGCAACAACAACATCAGCAACAACAACAACAGCAACAACAACAACAGCAACAACATCAGCAACAACAACAACAGCAGCAGCAGCAGCAGCAACAAGAGCAGGGATCAAATTCGCCTCCAATTGCACAACAGCAGCAGCAACAACAACAGGCGCCTCCTCCTCGCCGTTCGCCAAACGATTTCATCTTTGGCCGTTACATTGGCGAGGGTAGCTTCAGCATGGTATACCTTGCCGTGGACATACACTCGCGTCGAGAGTATGCAAGTGAGTACCGTACCGAGGCTATAAATAGATACTGATTGATTGACTGATTGACTAACTATTTGAATAATTTGATTCAATCACATTGAGTTGAACCGCGCAAAGCCGGCTAACACCTGTGTCAGTCTGTGCCCACATCTAACCGATCAACCCCCAAACACCCAACCCCCATTGACAGCATTTGTGGGGCTGCTTGGCGCCGGCGAACAACTAGCGCGAAATGCGGTCGCAAATGCAGACGGCGCCAACGCCAACGCAAGTCACCTGCTGCTGCGGCGGCTGCCAACAAATCAAAACACACACGCATGCCCGTACCCACACACAGACACTGAAACTGAAACCAGCTGTTACTAAAGTGAAAACGTTTTGTGCATGTTTGTCGGCTGGCAACCTTATGCAAAAGCTATGTGACAGGCGACAAAATTGTACAAGGCAGTGAGAGAGAAAAGGAGAATTTCAAATTCGATGCTGCTTCAACATATATAAATGTTGCTGATAATCTCATTCTGTTGCTGGTCACGCGGCAATCACGTGAATCTACCTCTATATAACTCTCTCTCTCTCTCTCTTCGCTTCGCTCATTCAAGTTTGTTTTGATGTATAAATATTCATGCATATATACATATTTATTGGAAATTTCATCACAACTAGCCTAAGACTTAAGCTAATGGCATTTTTATCTCACACAACGGCTATGAATAGGGGCAACACAGACATAGGCACTCACACCCATACACTCAAACACATTTACTTGTGCTGCCTTTGACGTCTTTTGATAATCAACACATCAACAACAGCAACGTCGACGACGTCTCCTCTGCTCTGATAACGCTGACAGCGACGCCCGCACGCAATTGACGACAGTTTTTGGTATGATGTTGTTGTAGTTTGTTTGTTTATCGATTGAAACAAAAAGGCCGCACAGCAGGCAAGAAGCTGACGTCGCTTAAGATCAGCTGCTGCTGCTGCCACCCGCAAAAACGGCGATAAGCGCCAGTGCGAGTGAGAGAGGACAGGAGCATGAAACGCCTCCCTTCTGCGTTTCACGTTTCACTTTCTGCGTTTCCAAGCAAAAAAAAAACAACAAACATCTAAAGCGCATACATATTTGTCTCCTCTGCCTCCCTCTTTCTCTCTCTCCGTGTTTGCATGCAATTTGCTGTTTATTTTTGTGTTAAGCCAATTTGCTTTAAGATTTTTCGCCTACAACAACAACAACGGTCAATCAATAAACTAACAAAGTCGCGGCTTTGGCACGTGTCGCAAATGCAAACGCAGCTGCAAGTTGCATTGTATGCATTTTTATTTCTGCTCTTCCTCTCTCTTGTTTTTCTTTTCTTTTTATTTTATTTTAATGCTAAATAACACACAGCGCAAAGCGCAACGCAAGGTAAACGGCGCGTGTCTGACTTTTCTCTTGTTGTTGTCGATAAAACACAAGTATAACGGGAGAACAACAACAATAACAGCAGCAGTAACAGCAGCTATAGCAGTAGCAGAGGCTGCATCAGGTGCATGTAAACAAGGCAGGGCCAGGGGTAGAGAGAGAGAGAGCGAGAGGGTCAGCGCTGTTTGTGTATTTACTTTGTGGTAGCGCGTTTAGGTGCGAGCGAGCACGCAAGTGTGGCTGTGCTGTAACTGTTGTTTTGCTGTCTGTCTGGAGGCTCAATTTGTGTTTAAAAATAGATGGAAAAAGAACAATCATAACAGCAGCGGCAGCAGCAACAGCTTCTACTGTTGCCTTCTATCTCATTTACACATACTGTAAAATTAACATTTACATCAGCTCGAAATGACTTTGCACTTTCGACTTTGCATATTGAAAAAAAAAACAACAAAAATAATAAAAAATAAAAAAACATTGACATTTGTTTATTGCACTCACACTTTTTGAAGGTCAACATATGTTTTGTACCTTTTTTTGTTTTTATTATTATTATTATTGTGCTTTATTGGCACACTTTTCCAATGGAAACGAGTGCAAACCGAATTCAGCTTGTATCACAAATGTTGTTGCTTTTAATTTGCTTATAAAAATTTTTATGGACTTGTCTGCAAACATGTTGCCAACTGTAACGCCCACTCTCTGTCGCAGTCACTGTCCCTCCCTTTCCACCTCACTTCGCCACGTTTATTCGCAATGAACGCAGCAAAATTTCGTTTTCGTTTTCATTTTGTGTCACATGCGTGAGAAGTAGGCAGTAAAGAGAGGCGAATGTAAGTGTGTGTGTGCTTTGCGGCGTCTGTTTGACGCGCTACGCAAATTCTTTTTACGCATTTTCACATTGTCTGCTATGCTATTTCATCATTGCTCGCAAAAACGCTTTTGTATGTACGTGTGTGCGTTTAATCATTGTTGCGCGCAGCTGTGTAGCATTTTTACCTGGTAGATTTGTCTTGTCTTGCTTCGAGCCTCAACACGTGCTGCTCTCTCTAATCCCACGCATCTGCAGCAGATGTTTCTGTTCCGTTTCATTATAATGTGAAGTTGTCGCACCTACGCATTGGACTGCAACTTGTTGCTGAAATGCACTGGTATTGGCACACACTCACATACAAAGAAATACTCACAAGCAACGCTTGATCGGCCATTGAACTATTTGCTAAAAACTTCCCATATTCCATGCTCTCAAAACTTCCCATATTTCACACATACGCATGCATACACAGACACGAAAACCTACTCTAATTTTTTCCCACACTTTTATTTGGCCACTGAACTTGCAAAAAGTTATTTTAGCGCTCTTTTTGCTCACCTCCCTCCTTCCAACTCTGCTGCTCTTTTGTCTTGTCTTGTCTTGTTACTTTTTGTTAGTGCTCCTTTTTCTCGTGTTTCTCTATGTTTCGTGTTATTTTTAATTACAGCAGCAGCAACAACAGCAGCAGCTGCGCAGTCGCAGCTGCTTAAGGGTATTTAACCTCTGCTCTCTCTCTTTCTCTCTCTCTCTCTCTCTCTCTCTCTCTCTCTCTGTCTGTCTCCTTCGCTCACTCATTTGCTTTCTTCGAAATAGTTAGGTTCATTCAACTCATATCCTCTTCGCATGTCCTTCTGTTGTTTCATAAGAATGTTTCTTCTGTTTGCACCTGCGCGCATACATATCTTGTTTTAATGTGCTGCAGCTGCCGTTTGTTAAGCACGGGGCCACGTGGCAAAATGCCTCTTAAGCCATTCCACCGGCCCTGCCTCCTGCTCCTCTGTGTTTTTACGAGCAAATTAAGTCGCGCCAGGAAGTCGGCTGCTGCCTGCCTTGGCCTTGTTTTTATTATTCCACACACTCACACATGTAAATAAAGGAGTAATAGAGAGCGAGAGTGAGATAGCGTTATCTGCTGCTCACTTGTTGTGCAAATTGTCGTTTGTTTAACAACCAAATTCAAAAAAAAAAAATAAGGAAGAAGGTCCTTTGCGTGCCGTCAACATGTCGGTGGTTCCTCAAAGCCCCTTCCAGTGCCCAAAGGGCAATAAACTTGGCATGCAACAACAATAACAGTAAAACAACAACAAAATTGTTATGACTCAGCCAACAACAGCAACAACAATAATGAGAGGCGCGCTCTTTGCCATATTCCACTTTCCCGCATTCCACCCATTCCATGAGACTTCCACTAAACTGCTCCTGTTCCACGTTACCTGTGAGCCGTGTTCACCTTCTTCTGGTGCTACTTCTTCCTCCTGTCATAAGCTGTTTGCTTATGCGCGACATATTTAAATGAGTTTCATGCGAAACGTCAAGTTACGTCACATGATGAGCAAGCATATGATGCCGAAGAGTGATAGAACAAGAAGGCAAATGAAGGGGAGGGAGAAGGAGACAACGCTGCCGCCAATGTTCTTTGCCAATTTTGGGCGGCAATCGCGATCAGTCGTTCGACCTGTAAAGACGTGAATTCGAACAGCCTTCGCTTAAGCTCTACTGCTGCAGAGTTCTAAAAATAGAACTTTGCGGTGCATTCTTCAACGCAACAGCAACAAAAACCGCACACGCAGCGTTTTCTTATCGCTTGCTTCCGCGTAACTCAATTGCTTTAATTGCAATTTACGAAATTTCGTCGCTTGGCGCGAGTGCGCCTGCACTCAAAAGCACAATCCGCGATGACATCTAATGTCAATAACCTCGCTACAGCTGTAAAGGTAAATGCAGAAATGCAAGCCCAGCTTAACGTTGTGATGGCAAATAGGCAAGCCTCCATCATGCCAATAAACTCAAAAATAGATATCGCCTCCGTGCAAGGCATCACTAACAACAAAAACACGAAACGTAAACAGCCAAATTCACCAAAAACCATCAAGAAAAGGCTCATCTTCGACGAACCAAGCACCAGCAATGCAGCATTAATATCAGAAAATCGATTTTCACTGCTCGTAGAAGAAGATGAAGACTACAGCGAATCACCTGTAGCTCCAGAAGCCCCAGTATTGACCGACCAGCAAACTACTCCGAAACCTCGTCCGCCCCCCATATGGTGTCCAAACATCAAGTCTGTGGCCCTACTTCAACAGATAATAGATAAAGTAATTGATGCTAAATCATACGTAATTAAGCCAAAGAAGAATAACATAGGTGTATTAACCCAATGCAGTGAGGACTATCGCAGAGTTATAGACCACTTTACTAAGCTGGAATTGGAGTTCCACTGCTACCAGCTTAAGGAGGACAAACCATATAGAGTCGTGTTCAAAGGGCTTCACTCCAGCACTGATACAACACTAATTAAAAAGGAATTGGAAACCAAAGGCCACACAATTACAAATGTGCACAACCCACTGAGCCGTATGGACAAAACACCGCTAAATATATTTTTTGTTGACGTGGCTCAGGCCCCCAACAACAAAGAAATTTTGGACATTCGAGTTGTCTGCAGGCAACGCTGCACAGTGGAACTGCCAAGAAGATACAACGACCTGACACAATGCCATCGCTGTCAAGAATTTGGACACACACAACGCTACTGCCACAAAGCTCCCAGATGTGTGCGTTGCGCCGGGAAACACGCATCCAAAG